GCTCCTGCGAGATGTCGCTAGCGCGTTGATGAAGTTCAATATAGAGGTCACTAGCGTCGAGCCATGAAACCCAAGATTACTTTCATGAAACCTACGCAGCTAACGGATGGGGCTGCAGACAAAAGTACGCCAAAAGTACGTCGTGACCGTGGTCTCCGCTGCTAAGCGACAATCAAAAGGGACATTGCTCAGCTTGTTTGGCGCACGTGTGACAGCGGCGCGGGGCGCGCCCAACGGCCGCGCCTTCGCTGCGGTTGGCCCACAGCGACCGCACGAACTCTGCGGTTATAACAGCAGCCTACGTCACACACTGCTGGCGCGACTCGAGCTCCTATAGGACAAATTCACGTGGTCTCCGTTGCTAGGCAACAATCTCGTCCATCAGCCAGCGTGTGGATGGTGGCAGTGGTTTTGTAGTGCCAGTAACTTTTTTGTCTGCGTTTTAGATCACTTTGTAGCCCCATTAAAAGAAGAAATATCTCACTTTTGTGGTTGCCCATAGTAAGCGCACGGCAGCCTACGTCAGCAGCCTGCGTGCGTTTCTCGGCCTCTCATTGGTCAACAGCACAGTCCTATCTCTTCAACACAGTAGCCACCTAGTGGGCTGTTGGGGAAGCTGTTTTGACAGCAGCGGGCGAACAGAGCTAGGGCCATGTTATGTCAAGCACTCAAGTTTAGGCCCTAACTACAATTGTGACACTGTTGATACAAATATGAAACAGCAAAAATTTTAGGTTATATGTTAAGTTAGGTTGTTTGTAGCAGGTTTGTAGGTTGTTTGTAGGTTGTTGTTTGTTTGTAGGTAGGTTGTTTGTAGGTTTTAGGTTGTAGGTAGGTAGGTTTGTAGGTTTTAGGTTGTTAGGTTGTAGGTTGGTAGGTTATAGGTAAGTAGGTAAGGTTAGGTCAGGTTTGATTGACATATGAGTATCATTTTTGGATTCAGGATGTCAAATAATGTTAAAATATGAAAAATTTATCAATGAAATCTACTTAGGACTTAAACGTGGCATTTACCGTTTTTATTTGCTGTTGACAGGCTCCACGTATATCACTAGAAAACAGTTAGGTACCTATCATTATGTACGTTCATTAGGACCCTCTTAAAGGAAATAGTTCACTTTTTAACATGGGTTTTGAACTGGAATAGCAGTTCCGTAGCTTGGGCTGAGACGAGCATAAATCAGGAGCTTTTACAGCCCAACGATCACCCTAGGCAAAGATATTCTATTTCTCGTCCCGAAAAAGGTGTCTTGCGTTGAGGATGTGTGCCTTGCATATATTTCCATCCAGTATGAAAAGAGCATGGGTCCCGAAAATTCTTCAGAAACTAGAGAAATTATCTACGAGAACTCTAGAGAAATTCTCGTACTGATCAATTAGGACATTCAGGGGAACATTATCAGATCGAGCAGATCGCCCAAATGCCGGTGGCTGCGATAATTTCTCTGTTTCTGAAGAATTTTCGGGACCCATGCTCTTTTCATACTGGATCGCGTGTGCCTTACAGAAACTGAAAAGTTCTTCCTATATCAAAATATAGAAAATAATATTTTGTTATAAAAAGGTTTTATTTTCTTTGCTGATTATTTTGAACATAAAAAATCATAAATCCGTTGCAAAAAAAAATAATTTCGTGAAAGTGAACTATTTCCTTTAATATCAGTCCATGTTATTTACACAATTACATTGTGTAATTGTGTCATTGTGTCACAAGAATGTCATTGTTTCCTTGCCAACAATGACATGGACAACAAATAGCATACTGCTACCCCAAGTCCATTATCTATATACCTATACCTATACCTATACATAGATGCCTCAAAAAGTAGACACCACTGGTAGATTAGCAACACTGGCGAAACGTAGCATGTCTTTCTACTGTCATTTTACTCATATTGATATGCTATGCAGCCCTCTTCTGTTGAGTGTTTTCAATAATTATGTCCTACTTGCCTGGTCTTCCGACTGCATAGTTCAGTTTGAGTTGCATGACCTGGAAATACTATGGCTTTGTTTAATTGTAGAATGTAGGTATGGTATGAGTGTATGACTGATAATCCTTATCAATGTTCTCATTCATAAATGATAAGTGAATCAATATGAACTTGAATGAATATGGTTTGTGTTTCTGGCATTGTTCTGTTATATTATCATGTTTGTTGCATTGTGATTTGAACATGGGAAAAATATTTTCCGAACTCGGAATGGAGTCTTTGCCCCTTTCTTGCAAACCGGCTTGCTTTTATCTCTGGTGTCAGTTTTCAGTTAGCTGGAACTGAAGTTGAAGATGAGTCTCAACAAGTTGAAAATATCAGCTGATGCATATTTAGTGTGTTTGACACATGTCCTTTCAACTGAGAGCACAGAAGTAATGGGCGTCCTTCTCGGATCTGTAAGTGCATTTTTCATAGGCTTGCTATGCTAGGGGAGAACCGTCCAAAACGCCCCATTAACCCTCGTCCCGTTGGGGGGGGGGGCAATTCGCCCCCCCCCCCAGAATAGCAAGAAAACGGCGGCACGCAGCGCCGCCAAATTTTCAGTACCTTCCCGGGCATCAATTTGACACCTTCACGCCAAATTTCAAGTCTTAGGTCACCTAAGGTCAGTAGTTATTGAGGTCAAACTGAGGTTATGTTCGAGCAAAAATGAGCAAAAAACATGCAATCTTGAAACGCTCACCAAATCTACAGTTACCAAGCAATTTCAAAGTGCTGTTTATGGTCTAGCAGACAAAAGCGGCGCTACAAAACTGCTATCACGGATTTTAAAAATATTGGGTTTCTGATCCAAAAAAAAAATTCAAAAAATTGATTTTTTTTGAAAAACTAAAAAGAATCAAAAAAATCCGAATTTTGAAAAAAAAAAAACGGAATATATGTGATAGTCCCTGCGCTCTTCTATATGCATACCAAATTTCAGATCGATATCTCGTTTTTTTGGCCAAGTTATAGCGGAAAAAAAAACTGGTCAAAAATGATGACATCAAATTTTTTAACTCAATTTTTAGCGATTCTAGACCACGTAGGGCAAAACAAAGACCACCATTGAGCTCCCCGTGACGAGCTGCATCGAATCAATACCCATTTTATGCAAAAATATCAACTTTAAAATTTGACCTAATTTGACCTGACCATGACCTGACCTTGACCAAAACCGAAAACGTGACCTAAGCTGGCCCCAAAGGCTGCCTGACCCACATAATCGCATTTGTCATGTAAAATGGACCATAAAACATGTATTACACGACACTTTCATATTGTGACCCCCCAGTGACCTGACCTCTGTGACCTGACCTGGTATCAGTGACCTCAAATAGCAAAATATGTGTTTGAAGAACATTTCCCCATCGATGATTTTTAATGAAATGCATTTTACTCGATTTTACAATGCATTTCTTGAAATACCTGTAAACGATGAAAATTCGACCTTTGACCTGACCTGTGACGTCATTGGTTTGACCTAGGTCAATAGAATTGGGTCACAAGGTAGTTCCCTGACAGGGCTATCCAACACCGTTTGCCGCTTGTCGCTAGGTTGCGTGGTTCTTGAGATCTTGGGGGGGGCAAATTGCCCCCCCCCCCACCCAACAGGGCGCGTTGCTCGGCAGAGCCCAACGGGGCGCGGGTTGGGGCGCGGGTTAACCCGCGCCCGGTGGGGGGGGGGGGCGAAACGGCCCCCTGTCCTTTTCCATCGATATCTCCTAAACGGCTGCAGATATCGCCACCAAGCTTTCAGGACCCCTCCGGGCATTATTTTTTTTTTTACACATTGTGACCAAAAAAATCCACAGGCTATGATAGGTTGGCCACAAATGACGTCAGAATGCCGTCATGTTCTGCTATTTCCGACCAAAAAGAGCTTCGCGAGAAGAGCTGTCAGGCCTACAGCTTTGAAGATAAAGAAAAATGGGCAAGACATAAAAGGTGTATAATTGACAGGGTTACAAATCTGCTATCTTGTATTTTTGAAATTTTGAATTTTGACCCCCAAAATAAAAAAGTAATTTTTTGGATATATTATAAAAAAATCCATAAGCTGTTTGAGTTTCGAAAAAAACCGAATATATATGAATTATGCTAGTACCTAGGTACCTAGTACCTAACGTCTTCTATGTACATACCAAATTTCAGATCGATATCTTTTTTTGCAAGTTATAGTGAAAAAATGTTTAAAATGATGACGTCAAGTTTTCAAACTCAATTTTTGGCAATTCTAGACAACTTCGGGCAAAACAAAGACTGCCATTGAACTCCCCGTGACGAGCTGCATCGAATCGATACCCATTTTATGCAAAAGTAACAACCTTGAAATTTGACCTAAGTTGACCTGACCTTGACCTGAACTTAACCATAACGGAACCTAAGCTGGCCCCAAAGGCTGCCTGACCCACATGATCGCATTTGTCATGTTAAATGGACCATAAAACATGCATCACACGACATTTTCATATTGTGACCCACAGTGACCTGATCTCTGTGACCTGACCTGGTATCAGTGACCTCAGATAGCAAAGTACCTATTTGTTTGACGAACAATGTACCATCGATGGTTTTCAATAACTTACCAATTTACTCGATTTCACAACACATTTCTTGAAATGTCTGTGAACGGTGAAAATTCGACCTTTGACCTGACCTGTGACGTCACCAGTTTGACCTAGGTCAATGAAATTTGGTTACAAGGTAGTTCCTCGGTGAAGCTATCGGACGCGTTTGAATTTTGAAAATCGGCCGGTAAATTTCCGAGATCTTAGGGGGAGGCGAAACGCCCCCCCCCCCTCCCCCTACCGCTGATAGCCCTACGGGGTGCGGGTTAAGCCACTTGTGAAAGAAAAAGTGGCTTAATTGAAATCGCACCTAAGCCACTTTTAGACTTTACAATTAACCTGTAGAATGGTATGGGCGTTCAAGAAACCAGGTGCCTGGGTGTTTTACAAATTTTACAATTCCTCTGTGTGGCGACATATCTGATAAATCAGCAAACATGGTGTTGTGTCTGCAACATTAAACAAAAGTGCCGGATCTTTCCAATCAAGAAAAAACGGAAACGCAAGCAAACATTTCATTCATTCGTCGAGCCAAAGCAATAACAATACCACAATGAACCAAGTTTTGAGCCAAATTTCAAATTCCTTTTTCCCCAGTTATCATTTCTTCACATTCTTCATCAGTGTAACACATTTCATTTTTCATGCGCCTTTTGTCTCGTGCCATCGTTCTAATATGGACTTTGTTCGGACAGAACATCCTCCCCCCTCCACGCGCACGCGCGTGAGACGCCGGTATCCCTGGACACCGTCAGCAGTTATCTCGCCTCCTCGAGAAGGCATATCTTGGTGGCCGGTCGGTGCACTGTACCACCACGAGCGCGCAGACGAGCTGACCTCACCCGGCCGTCAGGGCCGGGCATCACTTGATCACTCTGCCGAGGGGCCACTGACCCCGCGGCACGTTATCTTCTGCGATCAAAACCAGGTCGCCGGGCGCCAAGTTCCGCATGTCTCTTGTCCACTTGCGGCGACAGGTCAGGCTGGGGACATATTCCTTCAGCCATCTGGTCCAGAACTGGTCTGTCAGAGCTTGTGTTTGTCGCCAGATCCTCCTGCTCGCAGACTCGCCGTTGTCGAAGACGCCAGGTGGCAGACAAGTTACCCGTCGGCCGAGCAGAAGATGGTTCGGCGTAATCGCCTCCAAATCATCCACTTCTGTGGACACATGGGTCAGAGGTCGACCGTTGACCACCGCCTCAACTTCTGTCAGCACGGTCTGTAGCGCTTCATCCGTGACAGTCAGCTGGCTCAGCACTGCTCTCAGAGCACGCTTAACGGAGGATATTAGCCGCTCCCAGGCGCCTCCCATGTGACACGCACCTGGCGGGTTAAAATGCCACTTAATGCCATCTTGTGCGAGGCGGTCACTGATGGCGTGGACGTTCCATGCTTGGATCTGCCGACGCATCTCCCTCTCTCCTGCTCGCAGATTCGTCCCGTTATCAGAGAACACCTCTTTCGGTCTGCCTCGCCTTGAGACGAATCTGCGGAACGCCATGAGGAAGCTGTCGGTGCTGAGCGAGTGGCACAGCTCGAGGTGCACTGCCCGGGTGGCGAGGCACGTCACCAACAGTCCGTACCTCTTCTCATGCCGTCCTCCCGTCTTGACGAGCATAGGACCAAAAAAAATCGAGACCGACGCTGCTGAACACGTGCCGCGTGTCGAACCGCGCCTGGGGCAGATCTGCCATCTTCGGCTGGCACGGTTTTGCGCGGCGCCGGCGACACACCGGACAGCTGTGCAGGACTCTCCTCACCATTGCTCTCCCTCTGGGTATCCAGAACAGCTGTCGCAGATCGTTCAGTGTCTGCTCGACTCCGGCGTGCAGTAGCTTCTGGTGGACGTCCTTCACGATCAGAGCTGTCACGCGGCTGTCCCGCGGCAGGATGACCGGATGGCGGGCGGACTCAGGCAGAGGGGCGTTCACCAGCCGCCCACCGACTCGAAGCAGGCCGTCTTCATCAAGAACTGGAGAGAGCATAAGTAGACAGCTACTCGTGCTGATGGACCTTCCGCTTCTCAGCGCTGCAAGCTCTTGAGTGAACGCCCCACGCTGCACCTCCCGAATGACAAGATTCTGCGCGTCTTGCAGCTCATCAGCCGACAGTGGACCACTTCTCAAGTCGTTCTGGCGATCTTCGAACGAGTGAGATGCCACGAAGTTGATCAGGAATCGCTGCGTCCAGCCGACTACACGCCTGTAGCGCAGCCAGCTTGAGAATCGCTCTGGGTCAGGAATGACCGCGGTTGTCTCTCTGGCTTTGTGTTGAGTAGCTAACACCACTCTAACTTCAGGATCCTCATCAGGTAGCTTATGCTGCTCACTACCAGCCGGCCAGCAGGTTTCTGGCCTCCACAGGAAATCGGGCCCACGGATCCAACGGCTGTCCTTAGTGAGCGCAGAGGCCGTTAGCCCGCGAGAGCAGTCATCAGCTGGGTTGACCTCACCAGGAACGTGTCGCCACTGGCTGGGCTCGGTCAAGTCACGGATTTCAGCAATCCGGTTTGCCACAAATGTGTGGAATCTCTTGCTGTCGTTGGCTATGTAGCGCAAAACCACCTGGCTGTCACTCCAAAACACCACCCGGTGCACCTCTTCAGTGAGCTCTTGGACAACTGACGCTGCCAGACGCACAGCCAGCACGGCTGCCTGAGTTTCCAGGCGTACGATAGATAGTTTCTTGAGCGGTGCGACTCTGCACTTGCCCATGACAAACGCACAGTGAATGGTTCCGTCTGAGTACTCGTGACGCAGGTACGCCACGGCTCCAAAAGCCTTTTCAGATCCGTCACAGAAGACGTGGAGATCTCTTCTCAGAGGGGCTTCTTCCTGAACGCCATACCATCGTGGCAGCTTGGTGTCACTCAGCCGGGGCAGCTCCTCCATCCATGCCGCCCATCGATCAGATTCCTCTGTGGTGAGTGGGTCATCCCAGCCCTGCTGGCAAGACCAGAGTGCTTGCAGCTGCAGTTTGGCTAGAAGCACAAATGGCGAGGTGAATCCGAGTGGGTCAAAAATAGACGCCACGACGCGCAGTATTTCTCGCTTCGTTGCCGGCTGCCGCACACAAGCCAGCTCACTGGGCGCCGTGCTGCTAAGCTCATCCTGCTCGGCATCCCAGGTGACACCCAACACCTTCTCAGTTGGCAGTGTCTTCTCTAAGTCAGCTGTACTGGGAGCCCGCTCCTGCACAGGAATTTCGACGAGGACAGACTTATCATTGCTGAGCCATTTTCGCAGCCGGAACCCGCCTCTTGAAATCAGCTTTGTCGCCTCGATTACGATAGTTTTCGCCTGGGCGGGGCTGTTGACTGAAGTTACCATGTCGTCCATGTAGAAGTCTTCTACCACGATGGCTGCTGCTTTACGACCCTCGGGAGTGTCTTCAGCCCTCTCTTCTGCGGTCTTCTTCAATACGAAACTCGCTGAGGCGGGTGACGAGCGAGCTCCGAAGATGACCCGGTCCATTTGATAGGTGCTCGGGGGTCTGTCTGTCTCTAGATCCCGCCACAGGAACCGGAGTGCCGGCTGATCCTCTTCTCGGACCGCCACCTGCAGGAACATCTGCTCAATATCGGCGATAAGAGCCACTGGCTGCTGGCGGAAGCGAAGCAGCACTCCTGGGATTTGTTTCAGCAGGTCTGGGCCCGTTAGCAAATTCTCGTTGAGAGATGTGCCTGCAAACTTCGCCGCTGCGTCAAACACCACCCGGAATTTACCAGGTTTGCTAGCGCTGGTTACCGCGTGGTGCGGCAAATACCAGCACCTCTGATGATGCTTCTGTAGTTCCTCTTCGGTCAGCAGACGGGCGTAGCCTTTATCCAGATACTCTCTCATAGTGTCGCGGTAAGCTGCAGCCTTTTCTGGTGCTCGTCGGAGCGCCTTCTCCGTAGATTCAAGGCGGCGCAGGGCCATGCTACGGTCATTGGGCAGGGGGGCGCAATCAGGTTTCCACAGAAGGCCGGTTTCATACCTGTCACCTCTCCACTCGGTGGTGGACTCCATCATCTCTTCCGCCAGTCGATCTTCATGAGAGCGAGGCTGCTTCATATTGTACCTTGTTCCAAAAGCCTCGGTAGACCAGAAGTCTCTCACTATAGCTTGCAGCTTCTCTTCGCCTTCACAGCGGTGGGCCACATGCAGCACTTCTCGGGAGCCGACCGGTAGAAGCTGTGCCACGCTGCCCGTCAGACACCACCCAAAATACGTCCGGATGGCTGCCGGCTGGCCTGGCCCACCTACTCGGGCCTCCCGCTGGAGAATCGCCTCCAGCACATTAGCACCTAAGAGTAATTCGATCTTCCGTCCGTTGGTGTCTGGAATCGAGATGCCTTCCAGGTGTTTCCACTGAGCCCTTTTTGACCAATCGACTCTCTGCGGCCGGATATTGAGCTGGGGAACGGAGAAGACTTCGGGCACCTTTACAGGCTCACATTGCCCGTCTGCCGACAGCGGAGCCACCTGCAGTGACACCTTCATTGTAGGCCGGGTCATGCCGGTACCCTCAACGTTACCGAGCGTGAGCTTCTCCGTCGACCCAGTCACCGACAGATCCCGAAGCACGCTCTCAATGCATAATGATGTGTCCGCTCCCGAGTCGAGCAGCGCGTGCGTGTCGACGAACTTCCCAGCTGGGCCGAGTACTCTCACGGGAACCACTTGCAGCAGTGCTTTACGTGGCCCGCTCGTTGCATCCAAGGCTGTCGCCATCACACTTCTCGGCTGGTCAGCAGCTAGTGCTGGAGCATCCTGCTCCTCTGAGCGCCGACTCGAGTGATCGGGCACATGCAGCAGTGGGTGATGCTTCCCACGACAGCCGTTCTCTCCACAGATCAACTTCTTTCGACACCGGCTGGCCCAGTGTGACTCGCCGAGACAGCGATAACAGCGTCTGTTGTCACGCGCGAGCTGCAGGCGGTCGACTGGCGCCATGGCTTTGAAAACTGGACAGCAATCCAGATTGTGCGCCTCTCCATCGCAGGCCGGACATGGAGCGGGCTCTGTTGCCGTCGCTGTAGCCAGAGTGGTGCGCTGGCTGCTGCCTCTCCGTCGACCGGCTGGCTCTGCCGGAGCCACCCGCTGCGTTCTGGGCATCATCACCTCCCGCTGTCTAGAGACACTGAGCGCGCGGCGACCAGCCAGCACCAGCGGTCTCAGCCACTGGTCAACGTCTCCCAGCGTGGGACGACGTGGTGCCATCTTCAGCTCCACCTGGCCCCACTGCCAAGCCAGTGACCTTGGCAGCTTTTCTAGGACCTGGTCCAGGTTTGTTACTGCAGCGAGGTCAGCTTCGAAACCTCTGGCGGACAGAACACTGACGGCGGCGTGGAGGGCGCGAGAGAACCGCATCAGGCTCTCGACATCATTTTCCTTTATGGAGTGATGCTTGAGGACACCATCAAGGGTAGCTGTTACAACCGCGCGAGGGTCCCCAAATTGCATATCCAGCTCTTTTAGTGCCTCTTCATACATGTTGCCGTCACATAAGAGCCCACGCACTGCTTCTCTCGCTTCGCCTGTCAGACAAGACTGCAGGTAGGTCAAACGTTCGGTGTCTGAGAGAGCGCCGTTATCATGCACCAGAGCCCGGAAAAGTCCGCTCCACCGTGGCCATTCGAGTGGAGAGCCATCAAACTCGTCCAGCGTTATCTTGGGCAGTGATGAGGTCCGGCGCTGGCCGTCACCGCACGGCAGCTCACTCAGCCAGCGCTCCGTGCGCTCCCGGGCGTCAGCATTTGCATTTTGTTCAGGCAGGTGAGCTCGCTGGGGCCCTGCAGCGGACTGAGATCGTATCTGATTCACATCGGGTAACTGCTGCATCTGACCGTGTCTTGATATGACACCGGAGGGCGGCCTAGGGTCTGCCGGCGCTCCATTTCCCTCTCTGTCTCTATCTTCAGATACCAAATCGTTCGGGGACTGGGACTTCGAATCGTCGTCTTCCATGAGCCGCAATTCTAAAGCATCGATTTCGGCGGCGTCAGCAGCCCTCTGAGCCTCTGCCCGGGCCTCCTGTATCACGAGTTGGGCCTCAGCCTCAGCAGCGGCGGCGGCAGCGGTGGCCGCCCGTCTTCGTGACTCCAGCGCTCGTTCAGCTTCATCAGCCGCTCGTCTGGCCTGCAGCGCCTTCAACTGGGACACCTGAGCCTTCCTGCGCTTGGCACTGGCTGTTGAGGTGCTGGTTCCAGCCTCACTCCTCGTCTTCAGGCTGGCCTCCGACGTACTCGTATCTCCGCTCATTTTTACGTTACGGAAATATGAAACTCGTTAAAAGTCCTCAAACCTTAAAATAATAGTTCTGCATTGGTTACGTTAGTTCGTTACAGCGTTATGCGCATATGTTTCAAAATCTAAATACTGATGCAAGTTCTGAGTTCAAATGCTTAAGTGCGTTACGTTAATTCTGAATCCGGCCCGGAGGACCATAATGTTGTGTCTGCAACATTAAACAAAAGTGCCGGATCTTTCCAATCAAGAAAAAACGGAAACGCAAGCAAACATTTCATTCATTCGTCGAGCCAAAGCAATAACAATACCACAATGAACCAAGTTTTGAGCCAAATTTCAAATTCCTTTTTCCCCAGTTATCATTTCTTCACATTCTTCATCAGTGTAACACATTTCATTTTTCATGCGCCTTTTGTCTCGCGCCATCGTTCTAATATGGACTTTGTTCGGACAGAACACATGGAACAGTATGTTCTAGTAATCTTGGGAACAGTCATTTCGTACTGTTTTTGGTAGACACGAACTAGTCTTGCTTACTGAAGCACCTCGGATCTAAGTGACAGCTGAATTAATGTCGTTTTTATGATAGATATTATTTAAGAAATCTCATAAAATTATGTTTTCCCCTATAAAATCAGCCCAATGATAATGGCGCCCACCAAACTCCATCAGCATTTTTCTTCCACAGCATCTGTTTCACCTGTACCTAATGTTTATAAAAGGAAGGAAACAACTGTCATAAATAATGGGGCGTGCATGGGGCGTTCAACCTACCCTGGGCGTTTTACACGGTTCTCCCTTAAGTGGAGTCGTGATGCTATGCTTGTGAAGAATTTGTTGGTACATGCACTTGTATTCTCATTGATTTAGAGCATTAAACCTTGAAACACAGTATTTTTTTTAAACGCTTTTTTGTCTTTTTTTTTCTTGAACCGCTTATTCAATCAGCTCTAAAACTGTCAAATTTATTAGCTTGATAGTAGCCATTAGTTCTATGTCTTCTAGCACCTGCAACATTCTCATTTCCCTAATGAGTAACACCAAAATAGTGAGGTAGGTATTTAGGTATTGCTTGTAATGGAATGCAATTCTTCTACAACACAGATGGCTTTTACTTTCTTGAACTATACAGACTCATATTACTTATGTGTAGTTATTTAGAAGTCAGACTCGTGTAATTTTTTAATTGTAGGGTGTTTTTTGTGCTGGCTCATCGGTCACTAGCACTTAATGTAGGGTGATTATCGGATGTCTGTTGTTCTCCTGGCTGATTGTCGGATGTCTGTCTGTTGTTCTCCTGGCATCAGCTCCCTGCAGTGCATTCAGCTCTGAGATAAGTGCGCACAATCACCGTATCTCCAACAGGTGGAGGACGGAGGGGTGTGCTGCGTAATCTCTGCCAAAGCACTGGTGCGACTGGACAAGCGGAAGGACCGTGTTGAGATCTCGTCGCACCAGTTGATGTCAGGGGCGACGGAGGCGGAGCGACTGGCGGTTGAGCTGCGTCGCACGGTGCGCGTGGTCGGCTGGTACCACTCGCACCCGCACATCACCGTGTGGCCGTCTGCTGTGGGTAAGAACGATAATCGGAGCTGTGCACAATTCTCTGGAATGAACCTACCACTCATACATTATAATTCTGAAATTTTAAGTTTGCAGGAGTGATTTGTTGCATTATTTCATCGTCTTGGTTTGGCTGCTCTTTCAGATATCGATACACAGCACGCCTACCAGATGATGGACGATGGCTTCGCAGGCCTCATATTCTCTGTATTTCCCAAAGACCAGGTGATAATTTTACTCTAGTGAAGTTGAAATGAATGGGCTCATAAAGACCTTCTGCCGACGCGCTGTAAAACTCAAACAAACCAACAAGTTCAAATGAAATTGGAGATGTCATACATGCCTCATTGCCTAGCGCCTACTGCTACTGTCGCTTCGTTGTAATTAAGCCGTATGATATGAGTACAATCATTTACTTTCACTTAAATTCCTGGGTTTTGAACAGAACAAAAATATCTTCCTTTTTTATCGCCACTCATGGTGTTCGTAAAACGCTTTGTATACCGCCTGTTGTCTCACATTTTGTCCGTAACATCGGTGGCCTGCGGTCTGTCTTCAGAGTGCTGGCGTGCAGGCGGCCTGCTTTCAGTCAGTGGCAGATGGAACTGGAGCGCTGAAACGAAAAGATGTGCCCGTCTGCGTAGAGCCGTCCCGCACGATCGCACCCCATTGTCTGCGCGCGCTCTCAGGACTGCCTGAGGCTCTCCGCGAGGAGGAAGTGGCTAGCTACGATGCAGTTCGGCCCGCCTCTAATAGCGATCAGCTTACAGAGATGCACAACCAGGCTGGTATGATTTAAGTTGCTGATGATTTTAGGCTATAAGTACATCACGAACGTAACGGGAACGTTTAATAAGCAAATAAGTTACACTGTTTTGTATCTGTGTGACACACTTTTACATGATTAGGCACTTTAAGATGATAAGCCGAATGCACTTTTTTTTGCTGACCCCTAGCATCGTCAAGACATTTTCGCACCAACTACAGTTTTTTTTTTTGTGCACCCAGCCCAATGCAATATTATCAATGACCTCAAACACTTTTCTTTTCTCAGTACTGGTCAGCAACATCACCCAGCAGCTGGGCTTGCTGACGATGCCGCTGCTGCAAATGATGGAGAACAGGCTGGAGCGCAATCAGCGTCAGCTGCGGCGACTGTTGGCCGAGCGTGACTCGCTGGCCGAGCGGCTCGGCAGTGCTGCCGTCAAACGCGAGCCGAGAAAAGCAGACGTGGACAGCGGTGCCGAAACCGATTTGCGTCTGTCAGACGACGAGACCGGCGGCGCCGCCCACAGTCCCTCCTCGGAGGACACCGTCTACCTGCAGTCCGCAGCTGAGCGAGAACTGGGCGTGTCGTCCACGCGCCGTCCGCTGAAGGTCGAATCGGACTCTGACTCAGACTCGACTGTCAGTCTGGAGCTGGCCCGCTCCCGCCGCCAGCCACGGGTTAAACGAGAACGGGACTCGGACACGGAAGAGCTGCCGACCGAGTCGGAGGGAGGCCGGCTGCGGCGGAGGCTTACGGTCGTGAAGGAGGAGCCGGACTTGTAAGGTGGGTATCAGGTTTGTGTTGTCCGAGCATCGACGATACACAGCGAAGGACCAGTGATGCCTTATGGCGAGTGAGGATGGACGAGTAACGTGTGAGTCGATCGGGAAGGTGGTTGATCAGGGAGCTGTCTGCTGCGAAGCAGGAACGTGATTGATGTACACGAGACTCAGACAGAGAGCAAAGCTGAGTGGCAGTCGCGGAATTTGTGTCTGGGCCCAGGGGTGGTGATCGTTGTGACTAGGGCAGACATTCGTAAGGCAACAGAAGATGTCGTTATGAAAGAAACGACGGGCGTCGCTTACCCAGCTGCTCAATTTGCTGTGATATTAATATGTGTTCAGTAACTTGTACTTTGTATGCAAATGCATCCTGTTCAACCGCGCCTTTCGCGTCATCACAATACAGTTTTTGTGAAGTATAGTGAGAATCTTGGTATAGTGGACACCGTTCAAGCTCCGTGCATTGTTTTTAGCTGCGTGCTTATGCCGGAGAGCAGGAGATGACGACGTTATTAGGCAAATGATAATGGTACCGTCAACTTAATTCCAACTTTCATGTCGATTCATAGGCGGAGCTTTTCCAGGGAAGTTGGTGGGGAAAAAAGTCGTCAAACCCACAATGTCCGATTATAAAGTTGAATAAAATGCCACTGACTGAATCAATTCCTATCATTACAGACATATTATTTTGCATCAAACAGACATTCCAAAGCTCTTCAATGCGAAAAAGATTAATTTGCAAAGCAACAAAGTCTTAGAAATCAGCTAAAGTTAGTCGGGCAAAACGCTTATTGGTGGGGCAAAATACCAAGTTGGTGGGGTGGGGCAGCCGCAGCCGCCCCACCAACTGTATAGGAAGCTCCGCCCCTGTGTCGATTGGTGATCTCCGGAGCCGCCCCCGCTAACATTCCTCGCGTTCTCGCCTTCTCGCCGATCTCAAAGCGAGTACTAATCAGCTGCTATTTTGACCACTTTCCGGTGGAACACACGGGACGCTCACATGCAGGGTTTAAAGGCATTGCTCGAAGTTATTATGTTTCGTTGCATTTCATGCAATGTTCAATGGTCTGTGAGGATTGAGAGCATTGAATTGTTTTGTAGAGTTTGAAAGCTTCGGCGTCTATGTTTTGCATCGTTTTAGGCCATTAAACGTTTATATGACATATATGACGCGTGAGGGTCGAATGAGAGAAACTTGGGGGCGGTGAGATTTTGGAGTTTTCCGTTGGTTTTCCTGCTGGCTCTGGTGATTGACGGGTAAGTTTGTTTCAAATAAATTGGAGAAAAACTAAGAAAGCAATAGATTATCAAATCATCAGGTTTCTGACAATGTAATTTGTATAACATCATTGATGCTATTGCTCCCCAGTCCCCACTGAATTCCACGTTTTTATGGTCTTGAAAGCAGCCTGGAGAGGTCTGCAGAGGAGACTCCGGATTCTGCAAAAGAGGGATTTTACATGATACCAATTGGCTCTGTTGTGATGGAGATTGCTAGTTCAAATACCACTGGCAGCAAGAAATTATTTTGTGTGATTTACTGATCAGCGAATGACGCATTGATGCTATAGGTCCAACTCACAGTTGGAGCCTAATGCACCTTGCTGCTTGCTAGTGAGACATTTTCCACCAATCATCCTAATGCTGGTGTGCTTTTGTTGAAGAAAACTATGTAAGGTGGATACTGGATAGTTCAGTGTGTCAGTGAAGGCCAAGGGGCAATTCCAACATTTGTAGTTTTCCATTAAAAAACCAATATTTCATAATTTATAGTTAAATAGATGTTTTGGTGCAGGCCCTTCCCTTGTGTCTTCTCTTCAATCCAGCATGATTGGTTTGGTTGGGCTGTTCGCACAGTTCAGATTGTCAACCTGGCAGCTGTCTGGTGCATTTAGGCATGCTGATGCCTGAATGCAGTCTGGCTGCATATAGCCTCAGCATCTTTTTCAAGGCATTTGGGTGAAGTGAAATTAATGGACAATGGTTAGAGCAACACAGCATGTAGCTGTGTTTGTTGTAAACAGTATAAATCAAGATCAATATTATGTGGTTTGACCATTTCCCAGTCTGCAAAACGTGGCAGGGTTCGACGAGATCTCGTCGGGGCAGACACTGTGGGGCAGGGGCAGAAATCAGGGCAGCTTTTGAGAAGTTGGGGCAGAGTTCGGCTATTCCGGGGCTGGGGCGGGGCGCACGGTACCGGGAGAAAATAATAAAGAAGCGGAGTATTGTTGAAACGCGCGAGAAAAAGTGGGCTGCGCCACAATCGTCGCTAAAGCGCAGAAATTGTCATTTGAAACTGCTGCCATATTCAAATTTCCCTTCATCAGGGCTATGAATGTTTTCCGCGCCGTGTTTCGTATTAGCAACCAAGGAAAGGTTTGTGTGTGAATTTCACGAGCCTTGATCAAATCGCCCCAGACCTAAGAAGTAAGAATCATACCGCGACCGATTTCAGCATTTGCACGGGCAATGTATTTATATGTGTGTTTTTTATGCCATACATAGTTCATTTAGGGCATAATCTAACCTGCCCCGAGTAGATGCCCCATTTGGGGCAGAAATTGGGCTGTCCGGAAGTCAACTGCCCCATTTGGGGCAGGATTCCGGCTGCCCCAAACACCTCGTCGAGCTGGCTGCCACGTTTTGCAGACTGGACCATTTCTGTTAGGTCCCAGCAGATCCAGGTCATGTCAATGACCCAAGTGTCAAGAAAATTTGGATATGCTAAGATACCCTACATGAGGAAAACTGTATATGTTGTCCTTGGTTGCTTAGTCTGTATTTGATGATAAGCATTGGTTTTATTCAATAATTGTGTGTTTGTGCATTTGTTTAGGCTGGGCCAAGTCAGGTCAAGCCAACTGTAAGGTGACCCATTGGATATGTTTTGTAGGAAGGTAGGTGTTGATCACCACTGACAGTCTGTGTAATGTGCCACTGCCATGGGATCAAAAACCAGTTCACAAATGCCTTTATAAATGCCTAACTTAGGTTCAAAGTCCAAACAAATGAAAACTTATAAAAGTTATGTGATCATGCCAAGTGAGGTCACCAGGACCAGAAGTCAACTACCTTGACCTGAGTGAGTCTGACCTTCACAAGACCTTGACAGCCACCGTAATTTGGGACAAACATTCTGAATGTATATGTATTCATCTATTATTACAAAGAAGTCTGGAAACACAAATATAATGGCCATTGACATAGGTCAAACCCCCATTCAGGCTGGGGCCCAACATTCTCTGCAGAAACAGGTCACATTCAGATAAATTTACATTTGGAACATTCTGCCCTCCCAAAAACACACACTTGGGTCCCATGACACCACTGGCTCTGCCAAAACTCTCCAGTTGGTGGTGTCTGTGGGACGTATCCAGCAAGCCAGGGAGCCCATTAGCCCAGCTAGTGGTAGCCTCCGCCGTAGCCACCGTAGCCGCCGCCGTAGCCTCCCTTGTGTCCTCCGCCGTAGCCGCCGTAGCCGCCCTTGTGTCCTCCGCCGTAGCCACCGAAGCCTCCCTTGTGTCCGCCGCCGTAGCCGCCGTAGCCTCCCTTGTGTCCGCCGCCGTAGCCGCCGCCGTAGCCGCCGTAGCCTCCCTTGTGTCCGCCGCCGTAGCCGCCGCCGTAGCCGCCGTAGCCTCCCTTGTGTCCGCCGCCGTAGCCGCCGTAGCCTCCCTTGTGTCCGCCGCCGTAGCCTCCCTTGTGTCCGCCGCCGTAGCCGCCGCCGTAGCCTCCCTTGTGTCCTCCGCCGTAGCCGCCGTAGCCTCCCTTGTGTCCGCCGCCGTAGCCGCCGTAGCCTCCCTTGTGTCCGCCGCCGTAGCCGCCGTAGCCTCCCGGGCTGGCCAGGGCGAGTGCGCAGAGCGCAGAGAGCACCACCAGAGCCGACAGGACCTTCATGCTGATCGCTGGCTGACAGAACAGGCTGTGACCTGGCCCTGACTGGTCGGTGGCCGGTTTTATACCAGCCGGCGGCGGCGGGCTGACCCAGCGGTGTTGGGTCACGCCCGGGGTACCGTGACGGGTCACGCGTGCACCGTGACGCTCGAGGTGCGCCGTGACATGCGGTGAACTCGTGAGCAACCTTCACGACCGGGCGTGGTTGGATTTCGCACGTTAATAGTATACATAAACGCGAATTGTGCGTGACCAGTTTGTGACGAACACTGTTACGAACTGTATGTAAAACTGTTGACTAATTGAACAGTAAAGCAATACTGCCAAATAGACGCTGATAAATAATTTCGCACCTAAATCCTAATTAGAGTTGCAAAGTTTCCCCCAAAGGCTGCTACCGGCACCGCCCCGCCCCACAAATTTTTTGGGGGATACCGGCATGCTACCACGCCCAAAGCAAAAACACCACCAAATTACCGGCATACTAAAAAACCTGCATTGTTGATTCCAGTTTACCCCTAGAAGAGATGCCACATTTTCCTCTTAGTGTCCAAAGTTTGAATCATATGCTAATAATTTTTTTTGTGCAAAACCAAAAATACCGGCATGCTACCGGCAGTGGCGTACGCACATACAGGACATTCCGTGCATGTCCTGTCCCTTTGGCTCATCGTCCCCGGCGCCCTCAGTGACTGGCGCCCCTCTGTCCAGTGTTGGCGCTCCTCCAGTCGATAGCGGCGCGCTTCTAGTTGATGGCGAAGCCCCTCTGTCCAGTATTGGCGCTCCTCTGGTGATAGTGGCGCCCTCCTAGACGATATGGTGGGCCGGTGGCGCCCCTTTGTCCAGTATTGGCGCCCCTCCAATCGATAGCGTCGCGCTCCTAGATGATGGTGGGTGGCGCCCCTCTGTCCAGTGTTGGCGCCCCTCCAGTCGATGCCCTGGTCCTTCGCAAATTCCTGGGTACGCCACTGGCTACCGGCAAGACATGCCAGATACCACAAAAAACCTGCGGTAGTGAAAAATTACCGGCATGCCGGTAATGCGGTAGGTAAACTTTGCAACTCTAATCCTAATGCCTTTTGACGTACGTGCAGCGTATGAATTCCGGTTGCCTGTTTTTGCGGAGCTCCAGTATATGGCACTCAGGGGAGGTTTTATTCACTAGAAACTAAAATAATAGCGGTTGGAGTGCTGAATGATTGTATTGATTAGCTGTTTTGTCTTCATAAATTGGCTCTGCTGCTTGTTGATTTGATTGCTTTGTGAAATGTGTAGGAGAGAAAATTGATGAATGTGTTTGGTTTATGTACTTCAAACATACCTAAAGCACCGTTTAAACTATTTTTCGCAGGCAGTTACATTCGTCTAGTTTTCGATCCAAAGTAGCGGCACAATGACTGCCGGTAACGCAAGCCAAGCTCCGCAACAGTTCAAGTAAGTTTTCAACGGAGGAAAAGCACGTTGCTTCAGAAAACATACTGTTATAGAAATTGTGTATTCATTTGCTGAATAATTATGTTGTTATAGTGCAACTTAATAATCAATATAAAGCTTTCGAATGATTTCAGGTATTTGAACGTTGAGCTGAGCATTGTTAATAAGATTATTAGAAGGATGAATAACCTGTTGCTCATTTCTATCAGAAATAGAAAAAATAAACCAATATATATTCGGGCGTGGCCCTTCTTCAGTGGTACAAGATCACAATAAAACAAGAGAGACGTATGTGACACACATGAGGCAAAATACAATATTTTGAATCAAATCACTCACAGATATTTTGCATGCGCTTCCAAGATAGGCGTCGATCTAGATTTAGATAGTAATAAATAGCTAATAAATGGTGGCACAGTACATACATATGGCACATACATACATATATATAGGTACAGTTCAATACGATACAGGTAAGCTCGGTTTGCATAACAACATTTATATGCCTAGATAGGTCATTTTAACGAATCATCGTCCTGTACATCGGGGCATGATATTCGGGGCTGTTACATTCCGCGGACGGAATATCATGCCCCGATGTACAGGACGATGATTCGTTAAAATGACCTATCTAGGCATATAAATGTTGTTATGCAAACCGAGCTTACCTGTATCGTATTGAACTGTACCTATATATATGTATGTATGTGCCATATGTATGTACTGTGCCACCATTTATTAGCTATTTATTACTATCTAAATCTAGATCGACGCCTATCTTGGAAGCGCATGCAAAATATCTGTGAGTGATTTGATTCAAAATATTGTATTTTGCCTCATGTGTGTCACATACGTCTCTCTTGTTTTATTGTGATCTTGTACCACTGAAGAAGGGCCACGCCCGAATATATATTGGTTTATTTTTTCTATTTCTGATAGAAATGAGCAACAGGTTATTCATCCTTCTAATAAAGCTTTCGAAGCTGGAACTAAAAAGAAAACGAATTTTTTTACTTCGTTTGACTGAAATCTGCCGATATCTGATGCTGTAGGTTCAAATGCGAAGCCAGTCTTGTGACGAATTAGATGAAGTAAGTTTTGACTTTTCAGTGCTTCTACAGCTTTGCTAAAGACGCCGTAACTCGCTGCCAGGTGCTGGCTGCGTCGCCCTGTTGCGCGCTGTTTACATTCCGCCGCCGTGTTCCGAGTCGCCTGGCGTTACATCCTGCCTTGCCACTGTTCTCAGACTCGTGCCGAAGATCGTGAACGGCGGCATTGCGGGCATCATCGGCGTGACGTGCGTGTTCCCGCTGGACCTGGTCAAGACGCGACTGCAGAACCAGCAGATCGGGCCCAATGGCGAGCGCATGTACAACTCGATGTGCGTACCCGACCGTATCCCGCCGACTTGCGGCTAGTGCAACTGCACTGCAAACTTTTGGAATGCTGAATTTTGCAGTTTCATAATCAGCTAGGTGTAATAGTATGTTATCAACGCATTTGCAGTGAAATGAATGTATAAAATAAGAAGGTATGTAAGGTGACGCCCGAGGCAACAATATCGCGCCTCAGTCCGACCACCACTGACTGACCTGCCGTCTTCCATTTGCGGCGCCACAGGCTGGACTGCTTCCGCAAGACGTACCGCGCCGAGGGCTACTTTGGCATGTACCGCGGCTCGGCCGTCAACATCGTGCTCATTACCCCCGAAAAGGCCATCAAGCTGGCGGCCAACGACTTCTTCCGCTACCAGTACCAGAATAAGCAGGGGTTAGTGACTAGCAGTAACAGGACGAGCTGGGTTCAGTGCCACCGAGAGACCGGGGTCGGCCGAAGTGCTGAGTTTTTTTTTTTTTTTGTCGTGGTTAGCTTCAGGTTGCTTGGGGTAAATGGCTGCTGACATCTGAGGTTGTGATATACATCGATTATAAGTTAACCCTCGCCGGCACAGGCCATTTTGAGTCCTTCGACGGCACAAGGGGGGTTGGTACGACCCCCCCCCTCGCGTTTGGCCCCTGATCGAGCTAGAGCTTCGCGGAAAAAACGAGCGTGTTGCCCGTCACGAGACGAAGCCGATGATACCCAATTTTAACCCGCGCACCGACGGGGGGGGGCGGATATCCGCCCCCCCTGAGGTTTTTCGCGGATAGCGGGAAAACCGCGGCGCGTAGCGCCGCGAAATTTGGTATGACTATTCTCTCATCAATTTTACACATGGTGTGCAAGTTTGAACCTCCTAACTTTTAAGGTCAGGTCACCAGGTCACTTTGAATGACCCAACCTCAAGTCACTTTTTTGCAACTTTGTCACAGTGCCAGAGCTACAGTAGATGTCGGAGGCCTTTGAAACTCGCAGGATGTTATTAGGTCATTAGTAGCTACAATTTGTATATCTCGGAATTTTGATGTCGGTGACCTAAGGTCAGGTCAATTTCGCGACCTCCCCATTATAAGTCAATGGGGGAAAAATCAACTCCCTGTTTTTACCACTAAAACGGGTCGGAATGGCCCCATATACCATACATGACTTCACATACGATCAACCTTCACTACCTTGAGGTCTGTTTTGCTGTTGGGCAGCTGTAAGGTCATGTGACGTCATCAAAGGTCACCAAAGGTTTTTTGCCAATAACTCCTTACAGGAACAAGATACAGCCGCGCGGATGGTCTCATTGTGTTCAGCTCGTCAAGACGCATCGAATGATATACATGATGACCTCGAGGTCACGTGACCTGAGGTCAACCTTTGACCTTGACCTTTCGAGGTCAACATATATATCATTCGATGCGGATTGACGAGAGGATCACGATGATGCCCTTAGTTTGTTCCTATCTTGACTACTTCGAAAGTTATTCGAGAAAAACCCTCTCCATATCTAGCGCCGCCATTTTGACTTTTTCGACCCCTGTGACGTCATCTTTGACCTGACCTGAAAATGACCTTAGTAAAAATTGTAGACCTTGTCCGTGCGTATCCGATGCCGTTTACCGCTTGTCGCTATCTTGCTTCGTTCTCGAGATCTCAGGGGGGGGGGGCGGATGACCGCCCCCCCCCCCCCGTCGGTACTAAGTTGGCGCGGACCCCCGTCGGTGCGCGGGTTAAGGTCCTAGGTCATCGGGTGACCTTCCAGGTCAGGTCAATGACCCGAAAACCGGGAAAATCGGGACCTGTTAGAAAGTCGTAAAGTGTGGTTGCGACATGGTTTTCCGGGGTGCTGATCACGAATATCGTGTTAGTTTTGATCATAGATGATGTCTTTAAGCATTTAGACCAGGTCGGGTCAGGTCAGGTCAGGTCAACCGGTAGGGGTTGTGACGGGTAGTCGTAATACGTGTCAACCGCCTCGGACAGCTTCGTAACATGTTACGAAGGCACCAAAACTACTTCGTAAATGTTCAAATGGTTGCTAAATTCGAATTCAGCTCCAAAAACTAGCCTAGAAACATGTAAAACTCGAAAAAGTGAACCGAGGTCACCCGAGGTCACCAAAGGTCAATGACCTGACCTAACCTTCAGGTGACCTTGACAACCACCCTAATGCATGGGAGCAACATCAAATCACATGTTTGAGCGTTTGAAACCACGAAAAGCTTGCAAACGCGCGGCTAATGCGAGCCGACATGCGCCGAACCGCGATTTCGGCCAAACATGGTCACAGAAAAGAGGTCACAGGTCAAAGGTCATTGGGGTCAGGGTCATGAAATTTTCAGGGTAGGTGTAAAATTGATCAATGCGAGGGTACTGAAAGTTTCGTCGCGATCGGCCGCTTTTTACGCGAGTTATTCGCGAAAAACCTTAGGGGGGGTTGCATCAACCCCCCCCCCCCCTGTGCCGGCGAGGGTTAAAGTAGCTCTTGGGAGGTAAAATTTTGGTTTTGCGTGTATTTCTGGTATACGGACTCCGTCATAATGTTGCTGTTCAACTGGGATGTGTGCCAAAACCATGCCAAAACAATGCATCAGTTCATTTAGTGCAGGGCCTGTCGTTTCCATCAGTATCCACTTGTGCTGTAGTGCTGACCGCTCCTCCGTCGTCAGGAAGCTGACGTTGTTCCGCGAGATGGCGGCCGGAGGCAGCGCCGGCTTCTGCCAGATCATCGTGACCACGCCGATGGAGCTGCTGAAGATTCAGCTGCAGGACGCCGGCCGGGTGGCCGCCATGGCCAAGGCAGGTCAGTCAGCGCCGCTGCCACGAGCGGTGTCAGTCACTGCAGGTGTTGTCGCCTCGAACGGTGGATTCTTACAGTGTGCGTCATACTCACTGTGGGTGTTAGTTTTCGGGTGTGCCGGAATTGCTGCAGGGCCCGCAGGGGAACTATAGAAACGCCTCGTTCACAATATTTCGTCGTTCGCTTATTCATATACTCTTACCTGTTACTGATTACACAGAAAGATATGTTCTTGTTTTTGATATTTCCAACAATATTCCGTTTTTTTAATTATGTAGTGTTCGGTTGCCTTTTCAGCCGGCTCTGGTGCCGAGGTGCCCCGCGTCTCGGCCCGTCAAATCACCATGGACCTGCTGCGGACACGCGGCATCACGGGCCTGTACCGCGGCACGGCCGCCACTATGCTCCGGGACGTGAGCTTCAGCTGCGTCTACTTCCCGCTGTTTGCGCACCTGAATGCGCTCGGGCCGAGAAAGGGCGATGGATCGGGTGAGTGGAACAGGGGAGATGGGAGCCAGTCTCGGTCAGCGATCCATCGCTCGGCAGCTGGGAGTGTGCCGGACGTGTGTGCGTTGAGACATGACCGTCTGATTATTTTCATTTGAGCTGGAGCGCGTCACAGAGCAATGTGCGGTCAGTGGATGGTTTACACTGAGTTGAGTGTGGTCTGCTGTTGCTATGCACGTGGTCGCAGTGATGACTCAACTGTCGTGGGTGGATACCGCCTGCTGGCCCTGAAATGACTGATGGTTTATGCGATATTGAGCTGTATCATCCGTCGTGACAGACTGTCTTGTGGGTGTGTCTGACGTGCCTGTAGTCGGTTCCCCTGACAGTGATGTGCGCTTTTTTAACCCTGACAGTGGTGTACCCGTTCCTCCCCAGGCGAGGCATTGTTCTGGTGCTCCTTTCTGCCTGACCTCCTCCCCCTTCCCCTCCCCAGGCGAGGTGGTGTTCTGGTGCCCCTGTCTCTGTGTTTGACCCCTCTCCCCTCTTCCCCAGGCGAGGCGGTGTTCTGGTGCTCGTTCCTGGCCGGCTGTGCCGCCGGTTCGCTCTCCGCCCTGGCCGTCAATCCGTTCGACGTCGTCAAGACGCGACTGCAGGTTATCAAGAAGGGCGAGGGCGAGGCGGCCTACAAGGGCATCGCCGATGCGTTCCTGTGAGTACCGCTGCTGCTCCGCCAACGTGCCGTGGCTGGGATGGCTGAACGGGCCGCGGGGAGGGAAGCGCGGCTATATGGTGTAGCTGCATTGTTCCCGAGTGGCGTCTACCTTATTGAGGATGAATCTGTAGCTTGGGGAGTCGATAAGACGTGATGCGATTCATTGACTGCTCGTAAATTATTGGTTGATTTATGCGTAGTTACGGACAGTTGAGCTCATCTAAACATTGCTTCGTCACCCGTGTATGTTTGGTTTATTGCTAAGTGTGCTGTTTTTTTTTTTTTTAATCCGCTGGCCTCGTTTACATCATCCACTGTCCTGCTTATTTGTATTTTATCTGTTTTATCAGCAGTGCTGCCACGACCACACCTCCGGAACTTTTTGTCGTCGCGCGGGACGGAGTTATTTCTGTTTTATCTCCCTATGTCGAGTGTTTCTGGGTGTCCCGTTAGATGTTTATGCAGCAGCTGACTACCCGCCTGCTGTGTTTTTCTATGTACATACGTCGGCCTGCCTGTGACCTGACCCTGAACGCTCCCCGGCAGGAACATTATGAAGAACGAGGGCCCCAAGGCGTTCTTCAAGGGCGGCGCGTGTCGAATGATCGTGATCGCCCCGCTGTTCGGTATAGCGCAGATGGTCTACTATTTTGGCGTGGCCGAGAAGCTGCTCGGCTACCCCCGCTAGGCGTCTGACCCCGGCTGGGCGACTTTAGTAGGAGATTGTTAGTTGCAATGTGTAGCTGGACTGATATTGGCAGTGTCTGAACCTTCAACCCACCCCGCCGGTATGACCTGTTCGGTATGATGTCCTAGTTTGTTGTCAGGACTATCCTCTTTTCTAGCAACTATCATCTCTTCTATCACGTTATCCTTTCACTATCCTATGCGCTAGTGAGACACTATCACGGTATAGAGTATCACCCTGACTTGCTCAGTACTCTTATGGTGTTGTAGTTTGGGATGCGCACCGTTCTCAAGTGCTTATCGTAGGGCCTTTCCCTTTCCTATACTGTCTTTTTGTGATACCAGTTTTGTGATACCAGCGTCATGGTAGCTCCGTCTGATGACTCAGGCGTACCCTACGGTACTTGACTTAATGGAAACATTGGTGAATTACCTGGTAGACCTCTTGTATGTACACTTAATTGTAATACCCGAATGTCAAAACGTAACTAGGGCTGAAACCCTTTAGACAAGACAACCATGCATGTCCATTGTCCATAACCAAACCTTGTATTTTGACTGTGCACTGTATATGGCTTTGGAAATCAAAACCACATGGGTTCAGATGTAGTTTGCGGCAATCCCCGTGACAAGTACACTAACTAGTGCAATGTCTAGCTGCCAGTGTGATGCGGTGTGTGTAGGCCGTTGGTGTCGGTGTTGTGACGTTGTTTGATGTGTTGGTGTGAGCGGCGCCCTGGGGTCGCCAGACCTGTGGGCGGGCCGCGGTACCGTCTCGTCGAGCACGGCTTCCAGTACAGGCAGTGTGTAGAGGTCGAGGAGTGTAAGGGAAGCAGGGCGTCGGGTGCCTGGAGTGACACGAGGGCGACTGGAGTGACAAGTTAGCTTCTGGAGTGATGCGGGGCTGTTTGGAGTGGTGCTGCAGGGCCTCCAACGCATGGTGTGCTGTGTGAAGACGTCTGGTACGAGTGATCTGAGAGGCTGATGTGTAAATTTGGTGATGTGGTAGAGCATCCTGTAAATTTGGTCACATGTGAGGGCGCCCGGCGTCTGAGACTATGTGTGAAGACGCCCGGTACGTGTGCTGCGAGAGGGCAAACGGCGCCTGACGATGTGGGGGCAAACGGCGTGAGGATTGGCGTTGTAGCGAGTCATCTGGGTGAATCAGAGATCTGAGGAGAGACGTCAGAGGCTAAGTACGACCTGTGTTAGATTCAGTGAATTGACGCCGGGGTGAACATATAAGACCGAGTGTTTCCTAAGTCATTCAGTTTTATTGTCGCATGGTTTGGTCTGTGCCATTGAATTGTGCTCGGCGTTCTGATAATGGATAATTAAGCAATGATTATTGTTAATCGGTGCTATTGCTTGGGGACATGTAACGTTAGGCACAGCTTTTGTGATCATACGCTCTTAGGTCGATTGTTTGAGGCGTGACTGATATTTTGGGAAGGTTTGAGGTCCTGTTCTTTCAATCCAGTTGACTATGTTCGGTGCTCACGCAGTGTTTTCGGTGCTGATTGCGACCAGTAGTTCAGTGTTTGTGACGATTTTGTCTACGTATGTCCGTAAATTAGTTCATTCAATTTAACGTTTGATCTAGTTCTGTCGTGGGTAACTGCGGTTTGTGTATACTCTAGCTATACCGCGGACTAATTTCGCCCTTAATTAGCTGGCCCTCGGCTGATGGGTTTTCAGTTTTCAGTATTGAGAGGCCATTCTCAATGACTCGATCGAGACAACATTGCACTCCTACACAATTGACGGGTGTATTTGAGCACTGGCGTTGGCGTTGTAACAATAAACTTCCTACGCCGAGACTGTTTTCTACGATAAATCAATGCTCTGATGTCTGCTATCAACCTGCTGTTGGAGGTTGATCAGTTGAAGGTACGCGTTTCGTCGATGGCTGCGACATTGGTTCTTGGCTCGGAACTAGGCTCCACGGATGCAATCACTGTGTTCTGTTGACGTCTTCACCGACGTATTGTCCTCATAGGTGGCGGAAGGGGGGGGGGCACCGGGGCACCGTGCCCCCTTGGCCCTTTGAATTCGGCATTTTATCATAAGCCATATACCTAGGCGTTTCATGGAAAGAATGGGACCAAAAGTCGGCAGTGCCCCCCCCCCCCTCCCTTAATTGAAGGTGTTCCGCCGCTACTGATTGTCCTCAGCTGACATAGGAAGTCGTAGCTAACTTCATTGTTCTCCGCGTACGTCACTTGTAGCTGACGTCATTGCCTCGGCTGATGACACTAGTCGTAGCTGACGGGCGTGGTGACGCCCATCTCCTTCAGTACGTCCCTCACGCCTTCCACCAGTCGCACCATATCCTCTTGATGCAGGTCCCCGATGTTCCCCACTCGGAAACAATCCGCCTCAGTAACCTTTCCCGGATAGATGACTAGCCCTCGCTCCGAGAGGCGCTGGTACAGCTCACTGAACGAGAACAGCGGGTCGCTCGGACACAGGAACGATGTGATGATGTAGCAGTCATCGCCGTCGCGCACCAGCTGACGGAAGCCGAGCTCGGTCAGGCCGCGCTTGACGGTCGCGTTGTTGGAGCGGTAGCGCTCGGCCTGGGCGGCAACCCCGCCGGCGGAGAGGAGGTGCTGCAGCGCGCAGTGGAACGCCAGCATGGTGTGTGTGGGCGGTGTGAACCGAAACTGGCCGGTTGACTCCAGGTTGAACCACTGCTCGTACAGGTCCAGACTCAGACTGCGGCTGTTACCTGTGAGGGGGAGGAGGTGGGGTGAGTGGGAGAGAGAGAGAGAGAGAGAGAGAGAGAGAGAGAGAGAGAGAGAGAGAGAGAGAGAGAGAGAGAGAGACCAAACCACTCTAGCCTTATGTTGAAAAAGCCATCAGGAAGTTTACGATTGACTCATGTTCTCAGTTCTAAAAGTTTGACGGTCACCTCTTGCCACTTTTGGCTCTTTGGCGCACGTACTGAAATGCCGTCTTTTCGTTTCTCTATACCTACGAGCAGTTACGTCTCCGCCATCCCTGCTCCCCTCAGTCGCTCCTATCTTCCACCCTCGGCGCTCACCCTTGGTGGTCTCCAGGTGCTTCAACCGGCAGATGGCGAACGCGAAGCCGGGCACGCCCTCGATACACTTGTTGGCCGAGCTGACCAGGTAGTCCACTCCCGCCTCCTCCAGGTCGAGAGGCACGGCGCCGAAGGCACTCATCGAGTCGACTACGAACGCTGCGTGCGGCTGAAGCCGGCGCACTGCCTGCCCGATTTTCTGGACCGGGTTCAGCACGCCGCTGCTGGTCTCGCAGTGCACGGCGGTGACGGTCGTGAAGGAGTCGGAGGCGAGCAGCTCCTCAGCGGCAGACACGTCCAGCGCGCGGTCCTCCGGGAACTCCCGCAGGATGTAGGGAATGCCGGCCGCCTCGCAGACCTTGGCCTGTCGCCGGCCGTAGGCGCCGTTACTGAGTATCAGCACCTGACGGCAGACGGTCACCCCAATCACATTTAGTTAGCGAGTCGGGAGTCACCGACCGGGAATGTCCAGTTGAATGCTATGCGATATGACCTCCTTCAACCAGCTTCGTGACCTAAATGGCTCCGACCTGACCTGACCTTGACCTGAGCTAAACACCCTAAGTTGGCCCCAACCAAATAAAAAGTAGGTATATCATTTGCTGCGCCTGAGCATGAAGAACATGTTGGTGCCAAAATCGCGAAACTGCGACCTTTCTGGCGAAGTTAATTACCTAAACCGAACCCCTATGGTGCACTTGACTTGACCTCAGAGGCCACCGGTTGACCTGAGACCTTAACCCTCGCCGGCACAAGGGGGGGGGTTGATGCAACCCCCTAAGCTTTTTCGCGAATATCTCGCGTAAAAAGCGGCCGATCGCGACGAAACTTTCAGTACCCTCGCATTGATCAATTTTACATCTACCCTGTAAATTTCATGACCCTGACCCAAATGACCTTTGACCTGTGACCTCTTTTCCGAGACCATGTTTGGCCGGAATCGCGATTCGGCGTATGTCGGTTCGCATTAGCCGCGCGTTTGCAAGCTTTTCGTGGTTTCAAACGTTCAGACATGTGATTTTATGTTGCTCCCATACATAAGGGTGGGTTTCAAGGTCACCACCTGAAGGTCAGGTCAGGTCATTGACCTTTGGTGACCTCGGGTGACCTCGGTTCTTTTTTTCGAGTTTTACATGTTTCTAGGCTAGTTTTGGAGCTGAATTCGAATTTAGCAACCATTTGGACATTTACGAAGTAGTTTTGGTGCTTTCGTAACATGTTACGAAGCTGTCAGAGGCGGTTGACACGTATTACGAATACCCGTCACAACCCCTACCGGTTGACCTGACCTGACCTGACCCGACCTGGTCTAAATGCTTAACCCGCGCACCGACGGGGGGGGGGGGCGGATATCCGCCCCCCCCTGAGGTTTTTCGCAAATAGCGGGAAAACCGCGGCGCGTAGCGCCGCGAAATTTGGTATGACTATTCCCTTATCAATTTTACACATGGTGTGCAAGTTTGAACCTCCTACCTTTCAAGGTCAGGTCACCAGGTCACTTTGAATGACCCAACCTCAAGTCACTTTTTTGCAACTTTGTCACCGTGCCAGAGCTACAGTAGATGTCGGAGGCCTTTGAAAGTCGCAGGATGTTATTAGGTCATTAGTAGCTACAATTTGTATATCTCGGAATTTTGATATCGGTGACCTAAGGTCAGGTCAATTTCGCGACCTCCCCATTATAAGTCAATGGGGGAAAAATCAACTCCCTGTTTTTACCACTAAAACGGGTCGGAATGGCCCCATATACCATACATGACTTCATATACGATCAACCTTCACTACCTTGAGGTCTGTTTTGCTGTTGGGCAGCTGTGAGGTCATGTGACGTCATCAAAGGTCACCAAAGGTTTTTGGCCAATAACTCCGTACAGGAACAAGATACAGACGCGTGGATGGTCTCATTGTGTTCAGCTCGTCAAGACGCATCGAATGATATACATGATGACCTCGAGGTCACGTGACCTGAGGTCAACCTTTGACCTTGACCTTTCGAGGTCAACATATATATCATTCGATGCGGATTGACGAGAGGATCACGATGATGCCCTTAGTTTGTTCCTATCTTGACTAATTCGAAAGTTATTCGAGAAAAACTCTCTCCATATTTAGCGCCGCCATTTTTAATTTTTCGACCCCTGTGACGTCATCTTTGACCTGACCTGAAAATGACCTTAGTAAAAATTGTAGATCTTGACCGTGCGTATCCGATGCCGTTTACCGCTTGTCGCTATCTTGCTTCGTTCTCGAGATCTCAGGGGGGGGCGGTCATCCGCCCCCCCCCCCCCGTCGGTACTAAGTTGGCGCAGACCCCCGTCGGTGCGCGGGTTAAAGACATCATCTCTGATCAAAACTAACACGGTATTCGTGATCAGCACCCCAGAAAACCACATAGCAGCCACACTTTACGACTTTCTAACAGGTCCCGATTTTCCCGGTTTTCGGGTCATTGACCTGACCTGGAAGGTCACCCGATGACCTAGGACCTTAACCCTCGCCCTGGCAGGGCATTTTTCATAACACGGCCTGGCAGGGGGGGGGGTCGATGCGACCCCCCCTCGCGATTGGCTCCTATGGCACCTAGAAACACCAAATTTGGTAGGTAGGTGGGCCCCCTGGAGTTCTCGCCCCTGTGCAAATTTGGCTGCTCTAGGTCAATATTTAGGGGGGTTTTGGGGGGTATAAATGTAAAAATGTCGCTAAAAACAGGTCAAAAGTTTTTCGCTTATAACTTTTGATCTAATTGAGATAGAGCAAAAATAAAAGCACCAGTGAACTCAGCACGTCAAGGCGCGTCGAATGATATACGTTTTGGCTTGCCTAAGTGTACTTAAAGTTTTTCTTAAATTTTAAGTAAACTTAAATTAATAAATTAAGTTAAAGTTAACCAAATTGCATCATATTGCATATCATTCGATTCGGCTGATCACCAGGAACACAATGATACCATTTTTTAAGCTCTAGCGTCATTATGTGCCAAGTTATTGGCAAAAACGTCATTTGACCTCAGTTGACCTCATTTGACCTGACCCATGGATAAGTACACCAAACAAAGAAGCACCAAGTGACCTGCTGTTAACCCGCGCCGGGCCGGTGCTCTGAAATTCCGCGCCGGGCCGCGGGGGGGTGTTTGAACACCCCCCCCCCCTTCTAACTCGGCTCCTGGGCCAAGTAGCGACACGCGGTAAGCGGCAATCGAAAGAACGTCAAAAATAAGGACGAAAACACTTCGGTCATTTTTTAGGTCAGGTCAAAGGTCAGGTCACCAGAGGTCACCAAAGGCAAAATGTTGACTATTTCAACATTTTGGAAACTGCCAACGGCTATCTCGGGAACCGATAGAGCTACAGCGCCGCAAAAAAGCGCATTCGATAGCCCTTTTACAGACCTTTCTGAGTAATGTTCTCAGATTTGACCTTAGGTCAACGGTTTAGCCTCCAGAGGGCAAAAACTCCAAAAATAGCCGTTTTTACGAAAAAACGTTTTTTCGGCAATAACTTTTGACTCAAAAGAGCTATGACATTACTTTTGCCAGCATCGTGTTCCTCTCGTCGAGACGCGTCGAATGAACTATAATTTGACCTTGAAAGGTCAACTTGAAAATTTGACCTCAGGTCAAGGTCATGACCTGACCGAAAAAGGTCATGTTGCACATCAGTCGATCCGCAACGTCGAGCCAAACACATCTAAGGCGTTTTCAGCGCTCTAGCACGCCTCTATCAGAAGTAATCATCGAAAAACTGTTAGATTCTGTTCGTGACCTGAGATGACCTCGGGGACATAACGAGGGGTCACAGTTGCCATTTTCTGGTTCAGTGTGTCTATTTTACCTACATCTCGATGTTTGAGAGTGTCTAGAATAGCGTTCGTGCAAAACAGGCGCTTTTCAATTTTCTCCCATTGACTTATAATGGGGAGGCCGCTAAATTGACCTGACCTTAGGTCACCGATATCAAAATTCCGAGATATACATTTTATAGATAGTGTTGCTCTAATCAATCGCTGAAAGTTTAAAGGCAATCGTTCAGTCGGTGTAGCTATGACGAGCATTCTTATTTTTTCTGAGGTGAGGTCACTTGGCGTGACCTGGTGACCTGACCTAAGGTGACCTGGGTCTGAAATTTTAACAACATGTGCGGAAAAGATGCACAAACAGGTGTGCCAAAAACGGCGGCGCTCCGCGCCGCCGTTTTTGAGATATCTGCGAAAAACCGCAAGGGGGGTGTTCAAACACCCCCCCGGCCCGGCGCGGGTTAATTACTGTGGTTTCAAATCGCAAAAGTGATAGAACGAAGCGGATATCTCCAGTATTTTCCGAATTTAGTATTTTCCCATAGGCTTAACATTACGACGTAATGACCTCTAACTGACCTCAGGTCAGTGACCTCAAAAAACCCGAACTATATGTTATACAACTCGGTGAACTTAGTACATCCTGAAAGTTTGAAGGAAATCAGTGCAAAACTGTGAGTTGGACAGGTGCAAAAAGAAAATTGAAATTTGACCATGACCTTGTACCGGTTTTTCTGACCTGGTGACCTGACCCAAGGTCACCCGGACCTGAAATTTTCAGGTCATATGTAAAAAGGTTGCCCCATAGGCTGTGCCAAACTTGGCGGCGCTGCGCGCCGCCATTTTTACGCTATCTTCGAAAAACCTTAGGGGGGTCGCATCGACCCCCCTCCTGCCAGGGCGAGGGTTAAAATTGGGTATCAATGGGGTGCGCGGGTCGTCAGCGGTCGCAGACGCAGTGACCACATCTCCGATGTCATCGAGCGGTTCGGCTGGCTGCGAGCTGGTGAGTTAGCCGAGTACCACACTATCTGCGCAGTCCAGCGAGCTATCACCACGAGAACTCCTGAATATATCAGTCAAACCATCGGTCCATTAGCCCGCGACCTACATGACCACAACACAAGGCACGCCGGCAGATTGACACAACCACGACCCCGAACCGAGACGGGGAGGCGCCGACTGTGTATCAGGGGGGTCTCGATGTTCAACGACATGAACTTGGATCCGTATTTGCCATCGTTCCGTCGAGAGGCAAAAAACGCGATTCTTACCAGACGTCACTGAGGTGGTATTGGTGTGAATGTCGTGTGCGTGATTTGTGTGTGCTATGATGATGCCATACCATGTCTACTTACCCTATGTTTTATCGGTTTTATCTGCTTTACGTGTCAGGTGAAAAGCCACTTTTTGCTGTGGACCCTCGATGAATACATATCTGAATCTGAATCTGAATCTATCATCGGCTTCCTCTCGTGACGGGCAACACGCTCGTATTTTCTGCGAAGCTCTAGCTCGATCAGGGGCCAAACGCGAGGGGGGGTCGTACCAACCCCCCCCCCCCTTGTGCCGTCGAAGGACGCAAAATGGCCTGTGCCAGCGAGGGTTAAAAGCGGGTACCTATTGCTGTGCCTCGTAACGGCGCACACGCTCCTTTTTGGCGAGGTTTCTGGCTTAAAGGGACCCTCCCACCTTCAAAAAAGCTAATGAATTGGCATGAAAGTGATGTCGCTCGGTTCAGAAAGAGCAAAAACGAATATCTAGGTACCAAATTTCATCGAAAAATATTCACCGGTCTTCAAGATATTAGACATTTAGTTTTGTTTACTTTTTGGGATCTCCGCTGTTCCTAGCGACTTTATTTGAAAGTGCGGCATTTGTTGCGCGCAAAGCAGCATATACCACCGCGTGCTACAAAATGTTTTAGTCAAACATTTAAAAATCGTTAGATATCTGCGATGACGTCACACATTCAGAGGGGTATTCCTATGCATTAGCCCCTCTGAATCAAAATGCTGCAATTTTGAAATTCAATATTTCCGATTTAAGGCATTTCTCGATGTTGTGAGTGCCGAAACCGGTAATTGTGAGCCAGGGACCCCATTTTGGATATCTCAACTCAAATCTAATGTTAAGGTGGAAGGGTCCCTTTAACCCTCGCCGGCCGAGGGGGGGGCGGGTGCCGCCCCCCCCCATAGGGTTTTTTTCGCGATAACTCCGAACACGCTGGCGATAGAGAGCTGAAACTTGGCATACCTGACCTTTGATCCAAGCCGGATCTTTTGACACCAACCGCATTTTTGGGTCAGGTCAGGTCACTGACCTATGACGTCATAAGTGAACCTCTGCACGGTCTTCAGATGTCGCAACTTCGCAACGCCCTCACTGCCAGAGGAGATGTCACAGGGAAATGAAACTTGCAGGATCTAGTATCCATTATGAGTCCCACAACTTGCATATCTCGGATTTTTCCTAAAGGTCATATGAGGTCAGGTCATTTTCGTGACCTCACCATTATAAGTCAATGGGGAAAATGAAAACTGCTATTCTGGCGCCGGAAACGATCTCTAACTATCTCAAGCACACAGAATCGTGATTTGATGCACTCCTTGCAAGGTTAGATGCGTCATTTTTGCAATGTTGACCTTGCGTGACGTCATTTATGACGTCATCAAGGTCATATTAGTTTTTCGTCAATAACTCTTGATCAAATTGAGCTAGCGAGTCGGGAAAGCCACCAATGGACTCAGGAAGACCTGCCGAATCGAATGATATGCGACATGACCTCTTTCGACCAACTTCGTGACCTGGGGGTGCTGACCTGACCTTGACCTGAGGTCAACACCCCAAGTTGACCTGACCCGGACAAAAAGTATATCATTCGACGCGCCTGAGCGAGACGAACACGATGCTGCCAAAATCGGCGCTCTGCGGCCGTTTTTGCGAAGTTATTCACCAAAAACTGAACCGTACCTTGGGGCACTTGACCTGACCTCAGAGGTCACCGGTTGACTTAGGACCTTAAAATCGGGTTTCAATCTCTGCGTCTCGTAACGGCGCACACGCTCGTTTTTTCTGCGACGCGCTAGCTCCACCAGGGGCGAAACGGCGAGGGGGGGGGTCGTACCCCCCCCCCCCCTCGGCCGGCGCGTATGTAGAAAACCAATAGGTCCGGCGACTGGGTTAATTGGGGGTGCAGCGGCGAGCTGCGCGAATTCCATCTCTCTCGGCCAGGCGTATTGTGCAAAACCAATAGGTTCAGCGGGGATAAGCCTGGCGAAAGTATTCGACTTTACTGATCATCTTACGGTAAAAGGCAAAACATTGGTTTCGTGGCGTTTAGGTACGGAGAAACATGGAATGGGAAGAAAAGGAGGATGATCGACCTATTTCAATTTTATCCTTTACCCACTGCGTTAAAATGTGACCTGACCTGAGGTGACCTGAGCTGACCTTTGCACCGTCGCGGGGTGACGCCGTCTGAAGCACGGCCTCAACTGAGAACGTCCCGCTGCCCTGCATCGGTACCGCTGTGAACACTTCGTCTGACACACCTGCGGGATAAAGAGAAAAAGTGTTATCACCAGGGCTGCTGTATGGGTTATCCAGCTATTTGGCAGATTTTGTCACAAACTTGCGAGTGATAAAAAAACGCACTCATAGACGCATAGCACATAGGGCAAGCGACATAAGCTTAAGTACCTAAATCTTAACGATAAAACATTTACCCTCAATTCAAATAAAAGCCAAGTTATTTAACCCTCGCCGGCACAGGGGGCTAGGTTAGGTTGATGCAACCCCCGCCCGTAAGGTTTTTCGCGAATAACTCGCGTAAAAAGTGGCCGATTGCCACGAATCTTTCAATACCCTCGCATTGATCAATTTTACACCTATCCTGAAAATTTCATGACCCTGACCCAAATGACCTTTGACCTGTGACCTCTTTTCCGAGACCATGTTTGGCCGGAAATCGGAATCGCGATTCAGCGTATGTCGGCTCGCATTAGCCGCGCGTTTGCAAGCTTTTCGTGGTTTCAAACATTCAAACATTGTGATTTGATGTTGCTCCCATACATAAGGGTGGGTGTCAAGGTCACCTGAAGGTCAGGTCAGGTTATTGACCTTTGGTGACCTCGGGTGACCTCGGTTCACTTTTTCGAGTTTTACATGTTTCTATGCTAGTTTCTGGAGCTGAATTCAAATTTAGCAACCATTTGAACATTTACGAAGTAGTTTTGGTGCCTTGGTAACATGTTACGAAGCTGTCAGAGGCGGTTGACACGTATTACGAATACCCGTCACGGCGTCACAACCCCTACCGGTTGATTGACCTGGCCTGACCCGACCTGGTCTAAATGCGTAAAGACATCATCTCTGATCAAAACTATAAACACGATATTCATGATCAGCACCCCGGAAAACCACATAGCAGCCACACTTTCCCAGCCAGCAATTTTGCTCCGGGCCCAAGCAGGCTCAAGTGCGGATTGCCCAAGATTTTTAGTCGGGCTAAAGTCGGCTAGGGCTTGGGCTAAAGTCGGCGTATGACACAGAAACGCCGACTAAAGCCCATGCTCTGCCGGAGGTATGCCCGCTCTGCGAGCTCCGGGCAGCCGTAGTTTAGCCCTAGTTGAGCGACGATTGGCGTTAGCCCGATTTAAGCCCGAGCAGTGAATCCATTTATATAATGGAGATTACTCTGGGCCCGAGCGGGCTGAACTCCGGCAAGCCCACTCTGTGTGCCCTGTCTATCCCGACTTAACCCTCGCCGGACCTATTGGTTTTCTACATACGCGCCGGCCGAGGGGGGGGGGCGGGTACGCCCCCCCCCTCGCCGTTTCGCCCCTGGTGGAGCTAGCGCGTCGCGGAAAAAAACGAGCGTGTGCGCCGTTACGAGACGCAGAGATTGGTACCCGATTTTAAGGTCCTAGGTCAACCAGTGACCTCTGAAGTCAGGTCAAGTGCCCCAAGGTACGGTTCAGTTTTTGGTGAATAACTTCGCAAAAAACGGCCGCAGAGCGCCGATTTTGGCAGCATCGTGTTCGTCTCGCTCAGGCGCGTCGAATGATATACTTTTTGTCCGGGTCAGGTCAATTTGGGGTGTTGACCTCAGGTCAAGGTCAGGTCAGCACCCCCAGGTCACGAAGTTGGTCGAAAGGGGTCATGTCGCATATCATTCGATTCGGCAGGTCGTCCTGAGTCCATTGGTGGCTTTCCCGACTCGCTAGCTCAATTAGATCAAGAGTTATTGACGAAAAACTAATATGACCTTGATGACGTCATAAATGACGTCACGCAAGGTCAACATTGCAAAAGTGACGCATCTAACCTTGCAAGGAGTGCATCAAATCACGATTCTGTGTGCTTGAGATAGTTGGAGATCGTTCCCGGCGCCAGAATAGCAGTTTGAATTTTTCCCCATTGACTTATAATGGTGAGGTCACGAAAATGACCTGACCTCATATGACCTTTAGGAAAAATCCGAGATACACAAGTTGTGGGACTCATAATGGATACTAGATCCTGCAAGTTTCATTTTCCTGTGACATCTCCTCTGGCAGTGAGGGCGTTGCGAAGTTGCGACATCTGAAGACCGTGCAGAGGTTCACTTATGACGTCATAGGTCAGTGACCTGACCTGACCCAAAAATGCGGTTGGTGTCAAAAGATGCGGCTTGGATCAAAGGTCAGGTATGCCAAGTTTCAGCTCTCTATCGCCAGCGTGTTTGGAGCTATCGCGAAAAAACCCTATGGGGGGGGCGGCACCCGCCCCCCCCCCCCTCGGCCGGCGAGGGTTAAGCCATAGAAGTGAGTGGGGTTTATACATTGCAAACTGCTGTGGCTTTACTTGGGTTCGGCTCGAGTGACGGCTCCTGTTTTCTCAAGTCTCGACTTGACTCCATCTTGCTTTTGCTTCACACTGGATCAAGTAGCAAGGAGCAGCCAATGCACTTTCAGCAGGTTGTGTGGTTTTAATGCATATTTGAAATTGCTACGGTCACTCATATGCTCTGTTAACCGGTCATCGAGCATTGCGAAAGGAAAGTAATGGTTGACTTTGATTGAATGTTTATTTCAAACGACTACAGACACGTCAAATGAAACACAAATACATGAAACAGTGGACTGCAAACTGCAGCAATAATATGGCATGAGTCATGAAAAAGCGCCATCAAAACTATAAATCAATCACAAGACCCGCTATCCTCCCTCCCCGTTCGGCGTTCATAATACTTGGTTGAACACTTAACCGAAAGCATAAAGTAAGGACAGCAAGTAATCGCTCATAAGACATAACCCTCGCCCGTATTGGTGTTTTTCCAGCCGAGAACGTATAAGGGGGGGGGGGGGGGTCCGTTGGACCCCCCCCTTGCCGTTTCGTTCCTGATCGAGCTAGAGCTTCGAGGAAAAAACGAGCGTGTTGCCCGTGACGAGAGGAAGCCGATGATACCTAATTTTAAGGTCCTAGGTTATTGGTTGACCTTGCAGGTCAGGTCAATGACCCAAAAGTCGGGAAAATCGGGACCTGTTAGAACGTCGTAAGCTGCTACGGGGTTTTTCGGGGTGCTGATCACGAATATCATGTTAGTTTTGATCACAGATGATGTCTTCATGCATTTAGTCCGGGTCGGGTCAGGTCAGGTCAGGTCAACCAGTAGGGGTCCTGCTGGGTATTCCTAGTAGGTGTCAACCGCCTCTGATAGCTTCGTAACATGTTACGAAGGCACCAAAACTACTTCGTAAATGTTCAAATGGTTGCTAAATTCGAATTCAGCTGCAAAAACTGACCTAGAAACATGTAAAACTCGAAAAAGTGTACCGAGGTCATCAAAGGTCAATGACCTGACTTGACCTTCAGGTGACCTTGACACCCACTCTAACGCATGGGAGCAACATCATATCACATGTTTGAACGCTTGAAACCACGAAAAGACTGCAAACGCGCGGCTTATGCGAGCCGACATACGCCGAATCGCGATTCCGGCCAAACATGGTCTCGAAAAGTAGGTCACAGGTCAAAGGTCATTGGGGTCAGGGTCATGAAATTTTCAGAGTAGATGTAAAATTGATTAACGCGAGGGTACTGAAAGTTTTGTCGCGATCGGCCGCTTTTTACGCGAGTTATTCGCGAAAAACCATGGGGGGGGGTCCGTTCGACCCCCCCCCCCCTATACGGGCGAGGGATAAAGCAATTAGCAAACAATCGTTTATAAAGAACTTCACTCTGGTGAATGGGAGCTTTGGAGGCGTCTGGCTCCTCCACACAGACACACACACATCTGCAGTAGGTGGTCGGCCAGCTTTCGGCGCAGTTTCCGTATGTGTAGGTATACCTACTTAATTATAAGCAGGCAGTTTCCGCTAAACCACTTGGCGAGGGCGACAGCGGCGTCAACCCGGTCCTGGTTTGTATAACTATTCCATTTTTTGGAACCATTTGCTCTAATGGTACGTATAGTCGGTCAAATATGTATCTTTCCCGGCCGCCAAGTGGCGCTACGGTCTGGATTCGATAGTTGGCTGAGCCCACACCCCAGCTGCCCTGGCGGCTCTGGCGGCCCTGTGACGTCACGCGCGGGGGGCGGAGCTACACAGCGGCCGGCTGGAGAGTGACCGCAGACCAGCACTGGACGGCCTCGCCGCCGGGTGCTCCGGCGGGTCTGGCCGGGAGAGGCGAGCAAGCGGATGCGTTAGGAATCTAACGAATGTGAGGGCAGCGCGATGGTCTAATGATGGCTGTGCTTTCATGCGCCGTGTAAATTGTAGACTGAGTGCTATGAGCTATCAAAGGATTATCTGGTGTTTCAACAGGGGTCGCTGACCTAAAAATTAAGATGGTTGCTCTTGATACGATCTAATGCTTGGTGATATGATGATTAGCGCAAGAGAAATATTTAATCGAATTATGACCGGTTATTTTTTGATAAAGCAAAAACTTTTTTTTTTGGCATTAACGGGAAAGCGTTAAGCCATATCTACTGAAAATCTTAGCCGGGCCGGGGGGGGGGGCGATTTGCGCCCCCCCCCCAGGTTTTTCGCAGATAGCCGAAAAACGGCGGCGTGCAGCGCCACCAAATTTTGCATACCTGTTTTTCCATCTATTGCGCATACTGTGTGCGAATTTTGACCTTATATGACTTAAGGTCAGGTCAACAGGTCGGTTTGAGTGACCTAACGTCACAAAAAGTTTGAACTTGCACCAAAGCTACAACTGTTGACCGATCGATATGAAACTTTCAGGAGTTAGTAAGGGTGACAATATCCACAAAATGTATGTCTCGGATTTTTTATCTATGACCTGAGGTCAGGTCAATCTCACAACCTCCCCATTATAAGTCAATGGGATAAATTTCAACTTCATCTGAATGCCACCCGATCCACACAATATATTCAGGATCATGGTGTTGCAGGTCCCTGGTCCCGGCATCTCAAACCTAAGCTAACGTTCTCCACTCTCCAATTCAGATACCTATCGAAACTTTTCCGCGACCCGGTGCTGTGGCTCAATCAGTGCACAGTGGGGATTTTTCCGATCTAGCGCCTATTAATTCAAA